GGTGGGGGCCTGGCCGCTGGCACGCCTGGGGGCCGCGGTGTGCGCGCCTCACTCTGGGCGCCCGCAGGCTGGCGGCGGTGGCTCTGCTGTACCTGGAGCAGGAGGACGCCTTCTGGTGCCTGGTGGCCATCGTGGAGGTCTTCCTGCCCCGCGACTATTACACCAAGACGCTGCTGGGCTCCCAGGTGTGTGGCGGGCGCAGTCGGGGCACGGTGCGAGCTGGCCGTGGTCGGGGCCACAGACAGGTCCCCTGCTGCGGCTCACAGCACGTGGGCCACCCCAAGACCCAGGCCCCGCGCCCCAGGGACCAGCTACACTGGCCTTGTGAGGGGCAGCCGCACGGCCCCTAGGGTGGCTGGACGCAGGTGGGGGTGCAGCCGGCCCCCCAGCCCGGCTCAGCTCACCCTCCTGGGATCGTGCTCCCGAGTAGCTGTCCCTGTGCCGGGACTTCGGGGTGGGGTTACAGGGCGGGGCCCGAGCTGGGGCGGGGGCGGGGCCAGGGACGCAAAGCCAGTGTCCTGGGCGGGCCGCTGGGGGCATCGGGGTGTGCACCCAGCCCCTCCTGGCCCGCAGGTGGACCAGCGCGTGTTCCGGGACCTGATGAGCGAGAAGCTGCCGCGAGTGCACGCGCACCTGGAGCAGCACCAGGTGGACTACACGCTCATCACCTTCAACTGGTTCCTGGTGGTCTTTGTGGACAGCGTGGTCAGCGACGTCCTCTTTCGGATCTGGGACTCCTTCCTGTACGAGGGCCCCAAGGTGGGGCGCGGGGTGGGGGTGCTGGGGTCTGGGCGCAGGGCGCGCACCCCAAGTGTGAGGGTCAGGGCGGGTCGTCCAGAGGGGCCGTGCTGCCGGGACCAGGATTGGGTCTGGGGGTGGAGGACGCTTCTCCCGGGGTTCCGGGCACGCTGCGCTCAGCGGCCACTCGTGTCCACGTGAGCCGCTGCCGGGCGGCTGCAGAGGCCCTTCCTGGGCTCGGCGGCGAGGGGCGGCTGGGCCCTGGCCTGCGGTGGGTGCCCTGGCCTGGCCGGCGCAGGGCCGCCTAGCGGAGGTCCTCATCGCTCAGCCCGCGCGCTGGCCAGGCTCCAGAGGTGCCGAGTGGACGCTGCGTTCTGAAGGGCAGAGCCTGGCCCCTCGCGGGTCCGCCGGCACAGACCTCGCCCCTGCCGGCCCCGGAGGGACGGTCGCAGCATTTGCCGCCCTTGTTCCGTCCCGGGAGCCCCAGGGACACCGCGCGGGTGCTGGAGAGTCCATTCTGCACGGACACAGCATCTTGCTGTGGCGGTCCAGCCCGCGCCGAGCCCACGTGCCCCGCCCCGCCCGCAGGTCATCTTCCGGTTCGCCCTGGCCCTTTTCAAGTACAAGGAAGAAGAGGTCCTCAGGCTGCAGGACTCCACGTCCATATTCAAGTACCTGCGGTACTTCACGCGCACCGTCCTCGACGCTCGGTGAGTGCCGGCCCGGCCCCCGCGTCCTGCCCAGTTCTGCCACACCCGAGAGGACGTGTCCTGTGGCCACCATGTGGACCCGGCACCAGGGGTGGCCGCTGGGGCCTGCCCCTGGGAGGAGCGGCGCAGCGTGCCGTGACGGGAGCGCGGCCAGCGCTGGCAGCGGCTGGGCAGCAGCGCGAGGGGCCCGGCGGGGCTCCAGGGGCAGTGCAGGCCCCAGGACAGGCCCAGCGGTGGGGTCTGTGTCCAGGCTGGCGGCCGAGAGAATGGCGTTTGGTTGGCGCGAGGCCGGCCAGAGGCAGGGCCTAGCCCCGAGGGAAGGACCCAGGGTGGGATAGACCCAGGGTGGGATGGACAGAGCGAGTGCAGGGTCCCGGCGGGTGGGTGGCCCCGCCCCGCCCGCGTGGCCCCGCCCCAC